AAAAAAAAAAAAAAAAAATTCCTTCCATCCACTTTTATTGTCTCTAACTAATTAAATTAACTTCTCTTTCTCACTTCTACTCTTGATTTTTGATTCATTTAGTAGTTGTTCTTTTCTTGTATCTGTAATTCCATTACCTGCTTTGTTTTTCATATATTTCACAGAACTTTCAAAAAGAAAAACGAAAAATGATAAACACAACTAGAAGATGGTGGAGGTTGCTACTGTTGCTGCCACTGCTGCTGGCAGGGTTGCAGGGACTCTGTTTGATCTAATTTTAATTCCAATTTGGAACCGAATCACACGTGTCTTCAAGTTGGAGGCTAATGTTAAGAATTTGAAGAAAAATGTTTGGAAGCTGGAGGCTGAAAAGGAGAGGGTGTTTTACCTATGATTTTGATGATTACAAAATATATTTAAGTGATTAATTGATTCATTTGAGTGATTAATTGGTTCATTTAAGTGTGTTATTAAATTGTCAAAAGATTACAAAATAAATAAACTTGGACTGCATTAAAAATAGATGAAAAGACTGAAAATGTGCAGAAAGTTGGCTTAAGAAAATTTGCAGCGGCTCTAGAGAGGTAAAATTGTAGAGAGCTGGCTCTAGAATTTGCAATTGGCTTTACGGGTGAAAATTTGAAGTTCGTTGTTTGGCACGCATGGAAAACAGACACAAAGCCGGCTCTGACTTTGTAACCGGCTGTAAAGACGCATTTAATGCACAACGGTCGAATTATTTAAAAATTAATTAATGTTTTTAAAGTCGAAATCCCAAAACCGACTTTATGCTTTGCAGTCGACTGTCCAAGAAAACAGAATGTGCTGGAAACTGCAAAGTTGACTTTACGTTTTGCAGCCGACTCTATAGAGAAAACAAAATGTGCAGGAAACCCACAAAGTCGGCTACAGATTTTTTTAAGCTAGCTGTGGAGCCAGCTCTAGAAGTGTAAGCCAACTGTGCTGACAATTTTGCAATTCGAAATTACACGACTTGCAGAGCATTAAATGACCCCCAATGGTTAGTAACGGTTATTTTCGACCATGGGATTATAAATATGGTTGGTAAAAGATTTGGAACAAGTTTAGAAAGTATTGCATTAAATATTTTTATCTACCTATATGTGCTTTAACTTGAGTCTTTGATATTTGAGAGGTCTTTACTTGTAATCCTCTTCTTGTTTTATTTGTGAGTGATTTTAAGGGTGTGATTAGTCCTTTAAGAGTGATCTATAGAGAGGATTCTTGGGATTTATATTATAAAGGGGTGAGATTTGAGAGAAACACCCTTCTTATTGTAAAAGGATTGAGTGGCTCTTTTAAGCCACCCTTAAGTTTGTTAGTGAAGAGTGTAAAGAAAATCCTTGAAGAGTGTAAAGAAAATCCTTGATGAGTGAAACCAAAATAGAAGATTATGTTCTAAATTGTTTGATCGAACCTCTATAAAATCATTAAGCAAACTCTTCTTTTCTACTCTCTTTCATTTTGACTTTGTGGTTGCAATCCTTAATTTTGTTAGTGGATAATATCGAGGAAATCCTTGGTGAATGAAACTAAAATAAAAAATTAGGTTTCAAGTGATTTAATCAAATTTTTATAAAGTCATTAAGCAAGTTCTTCTTTTTTATTCTCTTTAATTCTAACTCTGCGGTTGCAAAAAAAAAAAAAAAAATTTAAAACTTCAATTCACCCTCTTTTAGAGTACAGTGAGATTTAAGGATGATGCTGACAGATGAGGGAAAAAGGTCACACTAAGGGTCAACAATTGGCTGACTAGCTCAAACAAGTACATTGGAGAAATGGAGAAGTTCGAGAATGACATTGACAGTGCGAAGAAGTGTTTCGTCAGGGTGTTCCAATCCCAAGGCCCGTTACCAAATTAGCAAGAAGGTAGAGGAGTATTTAGAGGACATTGCTCAACTACTTGAAGAAGCTACCAGATTCAAGATCCAAGATTCAAACAAGATGATTGAAAAGAAACAAACTTTAAGACAAATACATCCTCAAAAACATAGATTTACAAAAGAAACAAATGGGCACTTCAAATTTGTATCATAAACAAAAAAAGGAAGTTATAAATAAAGAACCTGGAGCTGCTTTTCGTTGTTGGATTCAGATTGTTCTTGGACAGGAGGAGTAGGAGGAGAGGCTTTTGCCTTATTCTCAGCTCTAGCAAGAACTCCGTCTCCAACCAATCTTGGGACTCTAATTCTACAAAAAGGGGATCCAAACTCGGCAAATAGCACAGTGAGGGGAGAGGTTTAGGAGAGCGGTTTTTGAGTTGATGTAGTAGTGAAAACTGAGTGCCAATGGGTAAGGCAGCCATTTGAGCAATGGTTTAATGAAGAATTGGATTGCTGGGTGGGGGAGAGGATGATGGAAAAGGAAAGAGTCGTTTTGGCGCAGTGTTGAATGAATAATGTTGCTGTGATTGGTCTTTTTTGCCACAGGCTCTGCGTGGAATCAGCGGAAATGGAAGTGTAAGACTAGTAAAACGAATTTCTTGGAGATATCAAATTTTGTTGGAATCAGATCAAGTTTTTGCATTCTTCTTTTTCAAAAATCTGTTTGCTGGATGAAAAATGCAGTTTAATGTAATAAACGACGGGATATCATATTGGGCCATGGCTATGGCCATGCAATCAACTAATAAGGTTAGACAAGATATTATAAATGTGTATATTTACTTGATTTTATAGTTTTGTTATAGTTGTAATTTTAAGTTTTTAATTTTTATTTTGTATATTTGGTAGATATTATTGTATTTAAAATTAATTTTTTATAAAAATTAAAGCTTATTTAATTCAGTCAAAATGTGGTATTAATTACTAAATGACTAAATATATAAAAACTAAAAACCATAAACCAAAAAGTAAAATCATACTAAATTTTTAGACATTGTTTAATATGATTGTGCTTTTGAATTTTTAGTTTCAGTTTTTATAAATTTTGTAATTATTAAAAATTAAAATTAAAAATTAAAAATTAAAAATTTGTTTAAAATAAATTTTAATACTAACAACAAAAAATAGAAACTCATTTAATAAGGTTATAACTATTTTTTTTATTTCTATAGTAATCAGGATAATATGTTAAAAATATACACAAAAGTAAACAAGATTTTTGTTTAGAGTTGTAAAATTTATAAATGTAAAAACTAAAAATTAAAAACCAGAATCATAATAAGCCAAGCCTTACTCCATAATTATTTAGTTAAAGTGTTTGAAAATATTAATTTATAAATTAATTTTAAAATATTAAACAATAAAAATTAGCAATTTTATCAAATATAAATTAACAATTATAATTATTAATTATTTCTAACAATTAAATAAAATACACATATATATTTATTTTTATTTTTATTTATCATATTGAAATCAGGTTATATATTTGTGGAATATCACCTACGCAACAATACTTTTTTTCGGCCTTTTTGTCTTAAAGTTTGTTGCATTTTTGGGGCTTAAGCCCAATTAAATACGGGTGAAAAGGTTTTAGCTGTAGGAATGGGCTTTGGAGCTCATTTGTGTACCTAGAAGCTCGAAGGCTAGAACAGTGGGTTTATTTGTACTTCCCTCAATTGTATAGCCCAACTTCTTTACCTTTTCCGGCCTTCCCTCCTTCCTCCGGCGCCGCCTTCTGGTTTTCGGCTCCAGTCCGGTACGCTACTGAACCCAAAATCGCTGTTAATTTCTCAAACTCAGCTTAAAATTTTCAAATGTTTTATGTGTTACGGGAGCCGTTTTTGCTTTTTCTGCGGTATACTAGTTGTTGATTGCTGAAATGTGTTTTAATTAGTGGTTGTTGGATGACTACTTTAGTGCCCATAAGATGTTTGTTAAAATTCCTATTAGAACTTGCTATGCAATTTTTTGTTAACTTGAACATGGCGAAATCGAAATTTAATACTCGAGATTGGTTATAGTATTATGAATGATTTTTCATTCAGTCAGATAGGAAAGAAGCTGTCTTGGGTTTTCCAATGTTTTTGGACGTGGGTGTTCAAGTCAAGCTTACTGGTCATCAGTCTCTTTTGCACAAAATATGATGAGTACTTGCTGTCTGAAAGAATTTATTTATTTTTCCTCTAATAGAAACTGCCATGCAAAGAAATTGTTAGCTTATAATTCAAAAATATGGTTGATGTTTCAATATAAACATGAAAAATCCAGCTAAGATTGAGTGCCTTAAAGTAGGTTAAGGTGAAGATGGACTTATGAAAATGAATATTTATCAGTTGGTTGAATGGACAAAAGTAAGTCATTAAATGGATGAAAGGGGAAGGGGGAAATGAGTGATAGTTTTTTGATAAAATTTTCCAATAATTGGTTACCTATATGGAAGCACTCTAATGTGTATTTCTAGAGAGACTAATTGAGATTGCATGTCTTAAGAATTAAATTATTGTATACTCTATCCTTGCACATTGTTTGAGCTCCTCTTCTACTAATTTTGTGTGTTTCTTTTACGTTCTCGGGAAAATAGGTTGTGCAGAGGAATGTTACGTTTTTTTCCCCTTTTTTCTAATATTGTTATCTCACAATTCCTATTGTGGGTGTGTTTAGCTAATTTATGGTGTCATTGAATTGAACTGGTAGAATGCCCCTTGGTTAGCCAAGCTTTAGAAGATGTTAAAAATTAACATGGAGGAAGTGATCCTTGTTGTTGGTTAATTCTCTTCTTATGGAAATAGATCTTGGTTTGATCACTATCAAAATTTATTAGCCTTGTAGCTCTTCTCTGTTTTTTATTTTTATTATTATTTTTAATTATTTTTATTTTTATTTTTATAATGAATATGGTGATGTCTGATGATCAGAATTTCTGAGTTATTGGTATTTTGACATTGATAGTGGAATTGTTCTAGCTCCAGTTGAACATCCACATTGTGTCAAGCCTTGTTATTATCAATTTACTAGTTTTTTTCCATTTCATACAAGTTATCATCTTGATTTTACACAAAGTACATCAGGTATTATTAGGTTC